CTTCCGCATTTAAAATATAAATTTATTTCCTTTAAAGTTCCGGGCCTTTACAATGTAGAACTTAATTAAAAGTATCTTAATTTAGAACTTATTCTCTCTACTTTTATTTTGGCCATTTCAATTCAAGAAAAAATGCAGATAATGTGTTTATAATTACCTCTATTTTGTCACTAGTAATTAAATTAGACATTGTTTGGTGGGTTCCTAATTTTGTCACCTTTAGAAGAACATCATTCAATTCTTGTGAGTTGTCAATGCACTAAAATTGACCAAGAAAAACCCAAAGACAGAAAAAACCAAACACACAAACACAAACACACATGAGTGACAACCTAGGTGGTCCAGGACGAATGAGGTGTTCAAGTATGATACAAACATTTACATTGAACTAGTTACAAAAACATCACTACTGTGGCTACCTTCCCATTTTCTTCTCCACATAATTAGGGTTTGTTTCAAATTCTTTAAGAGGATTGTCTTGATTATACTTTTCATTTTTTGATTCGAGTACGCAAACAAGTTTGTTTAATCTGATAATGACCGTAATTTGATCAGTTAGTTACTCGTGCAAAAAATATTTAAAATATGTTTAGAAAAATACCATTTTAGTAAAAACTTATATTTGATGTTATTTAGTAAAGACAAAATATTTGTTTTTCCAAGTAATAAAATCAAGTTTTTTTTTTTTTTGACAAAATTAAATATAATGATAAGTTTTAAACTTCATAAACAAACTTTATTTATTATAAACATAGTCTTTCTAAAAATGATATAAAAAAAATACTATTTAGTTTAATTATTAATACGTTTCTTTATTTACAAGAGACTTTCGATTTGAATATTCATGTATGTTTTCTTCAACAAGTGTAATTTTTATTATATTATCTACTTAATAAATGTATGAATCTACTCAAAACAATAATTATACTATAAAAAAAACATAGATATATACATTATTTTTAATGAGTTTGACTATTAAAAATAATTTTTTTCATGTCCTATAATGTACTTGCGAAATAAAATTAGATATAATTTAAGCTTTGTTTTTTTTTTTTTTTTTGTATGGTTAAGATATGAGTTAAGGGTAGGATTTGAACTTTAAAAGTTTAATCTTGTATAAGAGTGTTATATCAGTCAACCGATAAACTTTAAATTGGATACAAAAGAAAATATTCATGTTCTTGTACTAAGAAATTTGGAATATTTACGTACGTATATGTATATATTGGTTGATATATATATATATATATATGTATGTATGTATATATATTGATGTATGAATGATTCTATACATGCAATTCCAATCGTTCGTGACTTGATGAATTAAACAAAATGTGACCCAAAAATAGTAATTGGTTTGGCAAATCCGACATCTTGATGGAGAGAGAGAGATTGACTTATCATTCCCATAAAAGTGTAGTGGTACACAGTTCCTCAAACATTAGTCTCCGAATTTTAATTTTTATTCCATATCATTATAATAAATTAACATAAATTTAATTATAATAAGATATCTAATTAAATTTTACATATTAACTCCAAATATTTAATAATGGAAAACATTAATTAAAGTGTCTTGTTATCATAATTTTTATCATTTTAATTTACGCTATAATAATTAATGACGCCCGCACATGCTTAATTATTATAATACGATAAAATAGTAAAATATGAATAATTTTTTTATAAAAAAAAACTGGTTCAAATTTATAATTTTTTATAAAAAAAGAAAGTATATTAATTTTTGATCTAAACAAAAATATTTAATGGCCGAAATATAAATAAATAGAAGATAATATTTATTTTGGATCATAATTATAAAAAATCATAAAAAAATAACAAAGTATATAGACATAATACATGGTAGAAATATAAGTATATGATCAGCTTTAATATATGCGTACATATATATGTTCATTTATATATATAGAAGGATTCATACAGACACAAATCTACAAAAGAAATAACTCATTCTTTTGATTTTTGAATCAAGAATGCTGGACCTTTTACAACCTACACATAAAATCACAAATGAACCTGGAGAACCAAGGAAAGATCACAAACCCAATTCCACAAAATACATTTCTACTAGAAACATATATATATACATATACATATACATATACATATACATATATATATATATATTTGCTGCCAGGCAACAAGTTATCAACTATGACCTACATGAAAACACCTTTCAACAACATTACCAAGACAAAATGAACACTAACAATGCTAATAATTATTATTATGATACTAATAATGACAGAGATCATTTGTATGTTATTCTAAGAAACCAGTTTTGGTCAAAACAGCATTCCTCACTTTGCTAAGGTCCCTTCCTTTTAGGGTCCTTCCTACTCCTTCAAAAACTGAGAAAGAAGAAATCTGACTCCTGGCCAGCCTCCTAGCAAGAAACTCATGTGGAGGCAACTTTAAATCATACCCATCATCATCTTCATCATCATCATCATCATCACTGTATCTTCCATCATGTACATCACCACCATCATCATCAACATCACGATCATCATCTCCACCATTATCAACCCAATAATAAGCATTTTTAGATGATGCCTTCTTACCATAAATTCTTGACCAGTCAGGAATGTTAACAGGTGCTGATTGCTGCTGCTTTAGAACTCCTTTGCCTTCATGAGGGCTAGTTGAGTTACCAGTAGAATTTATTGGGATCATTCTTGCAGCACTAGTAGACATGTTAAGTTTTGGAACTGGTAAAGGGGACTCCATGGATTGACCTGCTTCAGGACTGGTATCCCTATTTTCCTCAAGGACTCCCCAAACATCTTCTTCATTGAAATCCCAATCTCTCAAAGATCTCCACAACCCACTTCCCTGCCTCCACAAACCATACCTGTTCTCCATTGATGAAGAATTGAAGACTCCTGTGTTGAGATTTCAGAAAATAACTCAAATTCCCATACGAGTCTCCCCAAATCCAACAGATTCATAGAAAGAGACAGAGGAAAAGCAGAGATTTCATGAATTATTCTATTGGGTTCTCTTGCAAATTGCAAACCCAGAAAGCAATTATTGTTAAAAAAAAAAAAAAAAAAGAGAGAGGAAGGTAAAGCAAGAATCTACCTTTCCTTGAATTAAGAACCTGGAAAAGTCAGACACCGCTTTCTTTAGATTCTCAAGGGATATCTGCACCAAAACAATTCAAACCCAGAAAAAAAAAAAAAAAATCAATTGACAGAAACTAATCGAAGCGGGATTCTTCTTCTTTCCTTCTTTTCTGGGTCTTTTTATTTTCATACAGAGGTATATCTGTCGGTGACAAAAAAGAGAAAGAGAAAGAGAATCCCAGTTGCAGAAGATTTGAAAATTCCACACTCAGAGCTTCTTACCTGAAAACACTAGAGAGAAAAAGAAGTTGATGTTTAGGTCTTGGAAGAGGAATTGATAAAAGCAAAAACAAAACAAAACAAAAAAAAAAAGGCTAAAGGGAAAGAGAAAGAGCAGTGGACAAAGGACCAGAATAAGGACAGACCTTGCTTTTGTCTTTAAGATCTGGTAATGGTGATTAAGTGTCTCTCTAATATACTTTAGCTTCCTCAAAAAAGTCTGGCTTTTGAAAATGAAAGATTAGGTAAAAACCTAAAGCATGAGCTGGTGAATTTACTAACTTCCCTAATTAACTTGATAATCCTACAGGGATAGACTTAAGCTGAATCAGAAATTGGATAACATTCCTCCTTTCTATAAATGAACCCAGAAGAAAATTACTCACTAAAAAGCCAATTTAAACCCAAGAAATTTACTTTTTAACCGAATCAAAAAGGAAAAAACTCCAGTACTTATAAATTAACCTGAGAACATAATGACAGTTGAATTAAAAACAAAAAGACAATTTTATGAAATGGGATAAGATTGATATTAGTGAGTTTGTAGCTGGTGAAACCTGAAGGGCGATGCTCTGTAATTTTATCTATAAGGGCTATCAGGTCAGTGATAAACTCATCTTATTTCGAGAATTTTTCTTAAAATGAGTTGATCATGTAAATATATATATGTGTATATGTATCATATGCTCTTTTGGGTAGTTGCTCCCTTAGATCAGGTTTGTAGTCTTCTTGCATGATTATGGGTTTTTAAATCAGCAGTGATAGCAGGCAGCCACTGCCACACGTGTGCTTCCGCCACATTTCTCATTTACAGCTTTATGGTTTTCGTTAGTTTTTTTATCGTGAAAAATTCACAAATTTTATTAATTAAATAATACATAACAAATCAAATAATGAAACACAAAGTTTTTTTGTGAAGGTACGAGAATAATACTCCGGAAGCTGCAACTTGTTATTAAAAAAAATAGTTTTCATATATATATAACACATGATGTATTTGTAAAGCATATCCATATTTTTATTCTAAAATAAAACATTAAGTTATTTACATGCAAAATATAAATTTATGAAAAAATAATTATGATAGTTTTTCAATTACGCCTTATTTTCATAATTAGTCTTAACTGTCAATACAAAGTATGGATAAATAAAAATTTAAACAAGAGCAAATTAAAAGTTGATCTTGATATTATTATTATAACTTGAATTTCATGATTTCTTATAATAATTATTTAGCTCTTATTATTTTATATAAAATAATTACTTTCAAATCATTTATCTTTTTTCATCTTTATCATACTTTAAATTGATTTTGCATTTAAATTTTCATGCATTCAGTGTTAAGAAATAAATACATATTCAAGTCTGCTCTGGAAATTTTGAACCAACAGTTATGTAAATTCTAGTTTACTATTAAAATTTAAGTTTCGATTCTAATTCAATGTAAAATTTATATATTATACTAAAAAAATATGACAAAAGATTAAAAAATTTAAAATTGCATTGCAGTGAAACTCAACCACACAAATAAAAGATATAATTTGCATTATAATGGGTATATAGATAAATAGAATTCTTAATTACCAAAAGAATAAAATTTTTGTTCGTCTAAAAAACTGAAAGGTAAAGGTTGCATTAAATTAGTGGCAAAGTGAATTTTATAAGCATGATTGTCAACTTGAGCAATTAAATAATGCTGTTACATCCACTTATACCTAATGGTCTTAATGCCAAGAAAGAGAATATAAGCTGCCTTATATATTATTATTAACTATATATATATATATATATAAGCACATGAGGATAAAAGGTTCCTCAGTCAAAACTGGTAACTATTACATGTAAGACATTTAATAGACTTTATAATGAAACTATAATCAAAGAGAAGATAGAAGATGTTAATTTAGTGAATTAGAGAGAAAAAGGAAAAGAAAGAAAATGAATGGAGATAAGACAAAACGTGCACATTGAAAGTGAAATTCTTGCTTGGAAGATCCTGTTATCAGACAATTAAGGTCCACATGCAACAATGAGGAAGCCGTCATACAATGAATTTGGCTGGAAAATAAAGCCAATCAGGTAATTTTTTGGGTTTTCTCTAATTCAATGACTGAATCTGCTTCTTTAAGAATAAAGAGAATCTCAATTTTAAGTCTTTGTGAAAAACAAAAACAAAAAAAGAATATTCACTAATAGGGCGAAACCAGATTCATATGTTAGAAAGGTAAGAAGGAAAAGATTCTTTGGCTTTATGCAGAATGAAATGCATGAACTTGGCAGCCAAGTCATTTCACTCGGTGGCCGACATGGATCTTAAGTCATCTAACCTCTGTTTACTTTTGTTACTCACTGCTCACTACTCACGAGCACTACCATTGATCTATATGATTCTTCAGAAGCAAGCAGTTGTACCAGCTGATTCTATAATTGCTTGAGCAAAAATAAAAAATCATAGACACCCATACATAGCAGGCTATATATAGATCCTAGGCTCCTTTTTTGGTCATGAAAAATGATGAAAAGCCTTTTTCACATAGGTTAATAATTCAATCTCACTTTCTTGTTGTGAATGACAGTTTCAAGACCATTATATGAATCAGTTCACAGTGATTGTGGTGGAAGTGCACAACAGTGAAAAGGAAAGGGTAAATTCACAACTGTCACCATCAGTCTATATGGTGCAACAGATAAATTTATCAATGTAAAATTGATATAAGTGGATTCCTCATGAGTGGTTTACCATTTTACTAGAATCAAGTTTCCACAACGAGGACATACAGTTGAGCTCAAGTACTCTAACTAGCAATTGGTAAAAACCCAAGTCAGTACCTAAGAAAGTTTAGCAGCTTGGCAAGTTGGCACCTTTTTCTATAAAGTTTCATTTAATGCTGAAAAAAGATAGTAGAAAGTAAATTGAAAAAGGGAAGTGATCCATCAAAGTTGAAACCAGAGAGATGTCTGGGGCCCAAAGAGAGGCAAATTGTATTTATAGCCAGCCAGAGCTTGAAAACTAAACCAAAAAATAACTTATCACGGAAATCGCAGAACCAAAGTTAATATAAAGGACAGTACCGACCGGTTTTGCATCAATGGTTCTTGTCCATAGGTACCCAATACTTCAATGTTTTCTCAGGTGTCTTGCATTGTATTAGTATAACACAGCTAACTGCTGGCATTACCTGCATATCCGTATAACAATAGATTCACATGCTAGTAAAACGTTCCATTTTTCCTTTACAGGTCAGCAGGGAGATAGAATTGCATTATCTGATTGCTCCTGAATTAGGAAGTTAAGATGAGTCCTGCCCTGCCCCTCATTCACATGTTTGATGTGAAGAGCATTTATAATTATGACTAGTCATTCTAATTGATGACTAGATGTTCTACTACACAGCACTAGCAAAAGAATGCATGATGACTAGAATAAGAAACCAAAATTTCCATGCATCAATCATCTATTCATATTTATTGCTTCTTGTACCTTATATATCACCTCTTGCATCATCACTAACTTCTGCCTGAAAGACCCAGAGCTAAGAATGTCATACTCACAAGCTACGGACCCTCAAGATTATTTCAAGCTCCTATCAGTGATCGGCCATTCTTGTTACAGGCCTGTATCCCACACAACAAGAGCTCAGTCTATATAATCAGTCAGGCTGATTAACACTTAGTTGTTAACTCTACCCTGAACTGATCTATGCTTGTTGACTCCAAAACAACAAATAGAAGAGGAACTCTATATTAAACTCAGTCATGCAATTCGTTTTTAACTCTATCTAAAACTTGTCTATGAAACAGTTACTCCAAAACTGTAACATATTAAGAAAACTAAACGAAAGCTTATAGATATCATGTTGCTAACATAGGTAGCTTAAACTTAACCTCACCTTCATGGCTTCATCCAGTCACAAAACATCCAACCCACCATCCACGCTGTACTTTGATCATAGTTTTGTTCTTTTCCATCTTTTCTTTGTCTCACTAAACTTTCATGAAATAAATTATCCAAACATTAAATCATATCAACAGGTCAAGGCTCAACAATCATAATCATATTGAAAAGGGCAAATATCACAGTATCTATACAGACCCCATTGAGCTATAGTATAATATTTAATATCCATAAATTCCATTAGGGTGAATTGGCCTACTTAACATGCAAAATAACTCATTAGATACTGAATAGGAACCTAACATTCTAAATCCCCTGATCATTAGAGTAAATGAAATAAGATTTTAATAGAGAAGTTTCCCATGTAACATGGAAAAGTAGATCAAGCAAGATCAATAATGACACATGTGGAATGAATCCACAAAAACAAACCATCAAAGAACCTTTTCAGTTTCTCCGACCTTGATCAGATAAGAAAGCGATTCTATTTGAAAATTCAAACCAGTGCAGACATTACAATGCTGTTTTCATATTCCATATGTAATATCCTTTAGGAAAAAGGGTACCATCATCACAAATTCACAAAAATAATTATGTGCAATGAAAGCCCCTTTGACACATCCTACTATTACATTTAGTGAACAAAATAATTTAATAAAGACCATTTTTGGAGTCAGTTAATTAGACAGTCAATTTAACTAGGTTGTCAGTACTTATCTCGTACGATCACCATTGATCATACTCAAAAATCTTATTAATCATTGATCTTTCTCTAAAATAGATCGAATTATCACAGATAGAAAAGAATCTACAAGAGAAAATTTGAAATCCAATTGACATTGTCCACTACTGTTTATTCAATGAGCAACAACAACATCGCTGTTCACCACACTAACCAACGGATGATTGCTATTACCAGCACCAGATTCTAAAACAGGATTAGACGTACTCAAACTGAGCAAGGACACCGACTTAGCCGCCGCAAGTCTCTTCCTCCGGATGCAATAAGGACTATAGATCTTGTTGAGGAAATCAGGTATCTGATCAAACGTCTGGATCTGTGTCTGGACCTGCGCTGCCATCTGAGGGAGTGGTAAGTCGATTCGGTGGGGAGAGGAGCACGTTGGAAGGCAGTTGGTTTTGCTAGATCTGGCGATGATTCTCGAGTCCCTGAGTCGGGCAAGAGCACCTGGCTTAAGGAACTTGTAGAAGCCATCGTGTCTCTTCGCAGGTGATCTGGAAATGCTCTTCATTTGTGTGTTAAGATAGAGAGAAATGCACAGGGAAAGAGAGACACGGGATAGGTTTAATAAGGAGTGTTTGGGGGGCGGGAAATTGAGGGAGGGAAACAAAGGGAAAATGGAAGGGAGGGAAGAGATACATGGGGGGGCTTATTAGGGTTTGAAAAGGGCAAGGCGGGAAACACCGTCTGCACGTGACGATTGGCTGCTTGTAAGGGATACGCTTGTGCAATAAGGTTTCGCCACGTGGACCGTTATGACGCGATAAAGAGGAGGGGGATGGAGCTTTGAAACGACGTCGTACAAGTCACCGAAAGTGACCTGCTGGGTTCGGGCTGGCCCAAGATAAGCTAGTGTAGAACCCAATAGCTTAATCGAAGTCAGCCCATGAATGCCCATGTTTCCAACAGATAAATATATATATATATATTTAAACTAATTAATTAAATTATTAAATTAACCTGTAATATTTCATATTTATTGTAATCTAGTATTTAATATTTTTTATCATAGTTTAGTCCTCAATATTCTTTTATTTATTTTAAACATTTAATTTCTTTCTATTTTTTAACCAAAAAAAAGTTAAAATGATTAAACTATAATATTAAATATATTTTAATTATTATTAATTTAATTAATTAATAAAACTAAGTTTTTTTATAACATTATTTAATTATTTTAAAAAATAAAAAAATGAAAAACTAAATTATAACTAAAATATCAAAAATCAAAATGCCTACAAAAGTTAGATATATGTATATATTTTTTTTTGGGTATAAATTTTCTCCATTGTTTATACTGATAATAAAAGAATGACCTTAGCTTCTATATCTATTTCCATCCTCTTCCAATTTGAAGGAGAAATATCTTGTATCTTGAGAAAGTACGAACTAAAATAAGTCCCATTAGTTTTTACTCTACTGAAATCTAACCATATGAGACATGAGATTGTTTTAGCAGCAATGGAGCAGACAATTCCTACTAAGATGTTTACAGAAGATTGTATGGAGTCTCATTAACCCACATATAGTTAACAAGAATTATAACCATTTTTAATACAGCCAGAGAATTCTCCAATCTGAGTCATACACCGAGCAATCACCATAATCAAATCCATGGTTTATAAACAATCAATCAAAAGGTCAAAGCTTTTCAAGTGCCTCAGCTGCAGCAACAATCTCCAAAATCTCCCCTGTAATTTTCGCCTGCCGTTGTTGATTAAAAGCAATAGTGAGACTCTTCTTCAACTCCACTGCATTATCAGTTGCATTACTCATGGCACTCATCCTTGCCGCGAGCTCACTCGCCAATGATTCCTGCAACGCCCGCAGAATCAGACTGTTCAGATACAATGGCATCATGGCGTCAAGAATCTGAACTGGGTCTTGCTCGAATTCCATAAGAGGTGAAATCTCCACTCTTTTAGCTTTCACTCTCTCCCTCTTCAAATCCAGGTTCCCTTCCTTTGATGTCAGCCTGAAGAGCTCATCGTCCATGGCGTCAACACACTTCCCATTCACATTAAAAGCCTCTCCTTTCAGTGATAATGGCAGAAGAGTCCGGATTACTGGATTGGATTTAACGAGTGAAACAAACTTGGTGTACACAATCTCAACTTTGTCAACCTCTTCGCTTATAAAAAGTGAAAAGACATCATCTGCGATTGCTTGTGCTTCTTTTGCAGTAGGAAAACCTACTCCTTCAACGAATCCATCAACGAAAACATTATCCTTGCGCCTAAAATAAGCATTACCCTTTTTTCCTACGCTAATCACAGTGTATCCTAGACCTAGTTCCTGCAATTCTTTGATTCTGTTATTGGCTTTTTTTATCACCGCATTGTTGAAACCACCGCAGAGACCCCTATCGCCGGTTACCACAACCAGGGCAACTTTCTTCACGGGTCTAACAGCTGTTAAAGGAAATTCAATGTCTTCTAATTGGAGATGTTGATTGATCGAGTATAGGAATTCGACAAGGGATTCAGTGAATGGTCTTGAATTGATGACGGCTTCTTGAGCTCGCCGGATCTTCGCGGCAGCTACAAGCTTCATTGCTTCGGTGATTTTCTGTGCACTTTTAACAGTGTTGAGTCGGTCGCGGAGCTCGCCGAAACGACAATGAATGGGATTGACTGGCAAGTTTTGGGAGGAGACTCGGTTTAAGGGTGACGAAAAACGACAGAGGTTTTGCTGAAATCGAAAAGAAAGAACATCCGCAGAAGAATTTGAGGGTTTTGAAAACACCCATGTGCTTAGAATCGAAAAAGACATGATTTTTACAGAGATCACAGTATGGAGGAGGCTTCATATTTGTTTATAGGGTTAATGTAGGGTTTAAGAAACTTGTTTTGCCTTCGATTGTTGACTGTACCACTGTTCATGATGGTAGGGTTTTACATACAAATTCTCAGTCTGTACAGGGCTGCGAAGATAGTGTTCCGGAGGAAATGCTGAGGGAGAAAAAAGAAGGGTCTTACAACCCGTTTCGTCTGGTCGGCCTGTTTGGGTTTGTCCGAATCGTAACCCGAACCATAACCCGGAACCGGACCCGGACCCGGATAATAACCCATACGGCTAGACTGCCTAAGCAATGCAAAACCCAGTTCTCGATTCCTGCAGTCTCCTTCCCCAGCGATCGTAGCATTAGCGATCACGATTCGCAGTTCACCTCTGTGCTCATTTCTAATTGAATTTGATGACAAGCTTTGATGATTATGAGATTCTATTGAATTTGCAGAAGAGATAGTAATAAGGAAAAGAAGATGTCGAAGCTATTTTCGAGGCTTGCTGGGTTATTCAGCGGCAAGAATCTGGCGGGCGTGGACAAAGCAGGAAATCGATATTTCACCCGAAAAGAAGAGATTGATGGCGTTAGTAAGTGGGTCTTTTTCCTTTTACTTTCTTCTGGTTTCTTTTAGTTGTTCTTCACACTGCTGTCACATTTTTTATGAAATACTTCTCACTGGATTCTATAGTGATCTTTCGTTGTGTTGCCGTATGAGTTGATTATATTGTTTGTTTATCAGATTGGGAGGAGAGATTGATGGGTATCCTTTGTCTTTGAAGTATACTTGTGTTGCTATTGTGTTCTTTAGGATTCTAGTAATTTCTAATTGAGTAGTTGACTGTTATCAGCAATTTTGATTATAATCTGATATATGTTCATTTTGTTTTTGTTATAGGAGCTCTTTGTATGAAAATTAAACAGTATGTAACTGCTGACTAATGGTTGTTAGTAGTTCTTATTAAATTACTGGTCATATTGCTTTTGCAGAGCAGCTAGGCGCTTTCTAGGTTGGTCCATCCTCGTATTAATGGCGTACTAACAACTCTTTCTATACTAGTTTTATACAAGTCAATGCTTATTGAGTTTTGAGTTCTGTTGTGACCTTTTCTTGACCTTGTGAAATTGGAAGTGGAAAGGAGGGGAGGGCAGGGTGTTGGATATGTTCCTTTGTTTAAAATTTCAAAAAGGACAAGTGATTAGTGTGCCGATTGCTTTTTTGAGCATTTCTTGGTGGCCCTAGATTTGCCTATTGCATAACATAAAATTTGGTGGAAACTTTGTCAGACGGTTCTCTTGAGTTCTATCTCTGTCTAGCTGATTGGGTCGCTGTAGTTTAGGTGGTCTCTGATAATGAAGGAAGAGGGGTCAGGAAAACCAAAAAGCAGATGTAAAGCTCATTCTCGTCTGGGTACTGCAGTGTATTTTCTTAGAGTTCTTTAGTCCTTTCTTGTGTTTGGGTATTTTTCATTCACTAATTTACAGATTATTGTGGTTTTGCTTTATTAGTATTGCAGAAGGTATATTTAATGCATTTGGTCGTCGTTCTAATCAATTGGGTTTTTTCTGTATCATACTCTGTTTGATGTAGATGGTGTTTTGTGCTTTTTGGATAATTATTTGTTGGGACATCCAGTTAGTACATTTGTGACCAAAAGGAACTTAAAACCTCTACTTGAGAAAAGATTCTCTGCAGTTACATATTTATCACAGTGCTGCATGACTCGCTACACTATTTAGCATCTCTTACATTGTGTAGTCCATAATTTTTCTAGTGAAAGAGAAACGATGGGTGATATTCAAAGGAGAGGATGACCCAACCTCTATCCCAGGTAAGCTTTTTGATGCAGTTAAGAGTTGACTTCAGCTTATATACATGTTTAACTTTCCCAACACCATTCGATAACATTCCTTAAGAAATATTCTTTTTCTTTTATATCAGTTTGGTATATTGGGCTGTTTTTAGTCACATTTTAAGCTAAAGGATGGTAGTAAACCTACAAGTCAAAGTTTATTTACGTGATAAAGTTTTTTTTGTTTTTAAGTAATATTAACATGATAAAGCTTCCTTGAAGTTACCTGTATTTCTCAGTTTTATTTGCTGTTCATAGTTTGCTTGCTCAATTTTTTCTAGTTGAATGGATATGTTGGCTGAATGGGCAGCGGAAAAAGGCTCCTACCCCAGAGGTGAGTCAGTAAAGTTATCTCACTTCTCTTTTTCTTTCAAAAGAAAAATAAAAGTCATTTCATTTCTTTCCCTAGTGGTGGGAGGTTTACACTTTGATCAGTTGTCCCCTTGTGTTACATCTTGGTATAACAGTTGTTTACTAAATGTCACTACTTTGGTTTTCGTTCCTGCTGAAATAGTTCTTAGCTGTTTAACATTGTTGTTGTTTTCCATGTCAGGAAATGGCTGAACTCGAAGCAAGGCGAGAACGTGTTAAGCTTAATGTTACTCGTATGTTTGCTTGCTAACTAGCTTTATAACCTCACAAGTTGTTTTTGGCTTTGGGATTTTGCTTTGGAACCCCGTGTATTTATTTCTCNNACTTCTCTCTACTTGAGCTGTCTTAATAAGATTAAGGCACTATAGTTTCTTAACATGTAGCATCCTTTTTCAGATTTTTTCCCTGTATACAGGCTCTTGTTTAGTAAGCTGCTGTTCTGACCTTTTAGTTTGTGATGTCTTAACCATCTTGAACTCTATGCAAATACGTTATGACTTTTCATTTTTATGAAGTTCTTAAGAAAGAAGAAGAAGAAAGGAGAGCTAGAGAAGGCAGTGCAAGCAAACCTGTTACCGCTGGTCTGTTTTTCGCTGATTCTTTCCTTTTGCACTTTGTGTTTTGCATGTGTCGAAATCATGTTGTTTTGCACAGGTAAAGTTGGAGGCCCAGACTTAAAAAGTTTCATTCGACAATTTCCTGTTGCTGCAGAAGGTATTGTTATGTTCACTCTTTTGTATAGTACTTCAGAATTTCTTGTAAGGCCTCGAAAAATGTCACCACATTGAATAGGATCATTAATGCTTCAAAGTGCAATGGAGTATTGAGCTAACTGTCAAGAAATACATCAGCATTGTGGCATGCTGTCTTGGCAAATTGCTATCTAATTTTCACATTTACAAGAGTTGCATAATCATGATATTGGAGCTGGTTGCCTGAAAATTTGTCTTCATTATTGATTCCTCTGAAGTGTTATCATGGTTGTTACTTTAGATTTAAAAGTTTTTGTTGGTCCAAGTTTTTCCCAATTGTTCTGATAAATGCTTTTTTTGCATTACAAGACATGTTTGATGTCTGTTTCCACAGAAAACTTCTTGATAAAGATATCATCACGAGTACCTAGAATTGCATGGTTGACCGTAGAGCTACAGCCTTTGAAACGACACCTCATCTAAAGCAACTACGATTATCTTTAACAGAAAAACCAGATTTATATAGTTTTGAATGGAAGTTATGTACAAGCACTGCTGACTGCATCTATTTGAGCAATGCTCTTGTGAGATTGAGTTGCAGGCATAAACCAAATGATAAATATCTGAACCAATAATATTAATGCAGCACGGAAAAAAAAATCTTAGTTCATCCTTAAAAATTGCTGTAAGAACATTAGTGCCATGATATGGTTGAATTGACATTAAAAAAATGATAAGTTGCAACCATGACAGGCATAGGGGTAGAATTTTTGTATCAGTTGAATCTGTTGTACTGAGCTAGTAGCTAAAGCAACAAACATACTTGCTCCAATAGAGCATTGCATGATATCCCATTTTACAATATGTGAAGTTCTGGTTCCTAACTATTGCCTTCTGTTTGACAATTCTGTTCTTGTACTAGCAAAAGGTTTTATGACACTAGATCTTTTTTTAGCAATAATTGCTTTTTATGCCGGTAACTTGGTGACTTTGGAGCTGATTTCCCTTATTTACCATGATCTTTGTTCAAGGTGACAAAGTTGACAGAGCATCTAATGCAAGCCATGATATAAGGTGAGCTGGAACTAGAAGATTTGTGCATCAGTGTATTTTGAGACAGAGCTTGTGGATTGGACTTACTATCTCAGACATATTGTTCTCCAAATATTCTATTCTAAATTAATATGTTGGATCTACCTTTTCCCCTGGTCCTTTTTAAAACCTTAGTTTTACAACTCTGGTCCTTTCCCCTGCCAAGTTTGGTTATTATTTCAGATTGGATAATCATAAAAGAGTCTTTTAGTGAATTTCTTGCTAAATCAAATTTCCACTTGGTCTGTTATTCGTTTTTGAGAAACTTTTTACTATGTTCTGAAGTAGCAAAGTCCAGATCATGGTCTTAGTTGGTCTGTAAAATCTGAATTGTTCTTTCTTCACTCTAACCAAAATTTTTTTTTTCCTTGCAGGACAAAACAAGCTGAAGCAGAAAGAGCAGAACCTCTGCCAGAGTAAGTCCAATTGTCTTTCTTGAAAAAATATGAAGAGAAAAAACTAAATGCCTTAGTTATTCCAAGAGATTTACATCATTTCTAGTTTCAGCTGCATGCGTACCCTAAAGCGATTTCTATCAAATGTTATTTCAGCCTTGCAGAACCAACAGGATCCGGTGCATCCTACAGACCAGGGACGTGGCAACCGCCAACGTGATATCTATTATACCTTGACAGTAGTTACTCATCATTCATCTTTGCAGGTCTTGTAGTAAGGCTAATTCCTCGTCTTTTGATCTTCTTGACAGATTTGACTTTAAAGATAAATTGATTCTTTTATGCAATCAGTGTTTTGGGGCACTAAACAGGCAAGTTCTTTATTTCTTGTATGTTTGAAGAGTTGTACTAGATGGCTTTGAATTCATAAGCAACGTTTCTACAAAAACTCCTAGTCAGTTGATGTAAAACTGTAACTTAATTTTTCTGCATATGTTCTACAAATCTACCAAGAGTTGATGCCAAATTTTGATCATGCAATTACTTGATTCTTTGTGTTCTTGTTTCATAATGTTTGTATTTGGTACTTACATATTTTCTTGACATCTTAATTTCAAAAAAATTATTTTGTTGATGTCTATGTGAGGTAAATGTACCCGTTAGGTGCTGTTTGGAGAAAGAGGGACGAGAGCAAATGAAATTAGGATTGACATTATTCAGTTTTCACAGTAAAAGATTACTTGGAATGAATAGATGAAAAGAGAATATTTGCTGCGAGGACTAAATTACCTCATTCTATTTTCTTCTCCCAAAAAAAGCCATAATGACTGTTTCCTATACAATGTTTTGTGATCTTTCTGCACGCCTCAGATGCAATAGTCATATATCAATATATATACATATATATGAACCCATAATAGACTTATTGGATTTATAAACTATACAGAATGTTATCTTCATTACGTATTTTACTTGTACATTATACTACTTTTTGGATTCCTTATTTTTTTTAGAGTAAACATGATGCATAGTCATGGATAGCTGCAGAGTGAGACTTTGACTCTCTTATCAAGGAGAGTGCCTTAATCATCTGAAATAAGAGTGTTTACTTCAGTCTTTTTTTGGGTCAATAAGAATTT